CTCTCACTCTCGCCCTCCCTGTCCTCGCTCTCGCTCTCGCCTCCCTGTCCTCACGCTCGCTCTCGCCTCCCTGTCCTCGCTCTCGCCCTCCCTGTCCTCACTCTTGCCCTGCCCTCCCTGTCCTCGCTCTCGCCCTTCCCTCCCTGTCCTTGCTCTCACCCTGTCCTCGCTCTCGCCCTGCCCTCCCTGCCCTCGCTCTCGCGCCGACCTCACTCTCACGCTAAACTCCCTGTCCTTGCTCACGCGTTGACCTCCCTGCCCTCGCTCGCACACTGCCCTCCATGCCCTCGCTCTCGCGCTGCCCTCCCTGCCCTCACACTCACCCTACACTCGCGCTCCCCTCCCTGCCCTCCCTCTCACGCTGCCCTCCCTCTCGCCCTGCCCTCCCTCTCGCCCTCTGTGTCCTCGCTCTCGCCCTGCCCTCCCTGTCCTCGCTCTCACCCTCTCTGCCCTCCCTCTCACCCTGCCCTCCCTGTCGCCCTCCCTGTCCTCCTCCCTGTCCTCGCTCTCGCCCTGCCCTCCCTGTCCTCGCTGTTGCCCTCCCTGTCCTCAATCTCGCCCTGCACTCACGCTCCCATCCCTGCCCTCGCTCTCGCGCTGCCCTCCCTGCCCTCCCTCTCCCACTGCCCTCCCTCTCCCATTGCCCTCCCTCTCGCCCTGCCCTCCCTGTCCTCGCTCTCGCCCTGCCCTCGCTCTCGCGCTGACCTCCCTGCCCTCGCTCTTGCGTTGACCTCCCTACCCTCGTTCTTGCGCTGACCTCGCTCTCACCCTGCCCTCCCTGTCGCACTGACCTCCCTGCCCTCGCTCTCGCACTGCCCTCCCTGCCCTCGCTCTCGCGCTGACCTCCCTGACCTCACTCTCGCGCTGACCTCCCTGCCCTCGCTCTCACGCTGACCTCCCTGACCTCACTCTCACACTGACCTCCCCGCCCTCGCTCTCGCCCTGCCCTTGCTCTTGCCCTCCCTGCCCTCGCCCTGTCCTCGCTCTCGCCCTGCCCTCCCTGCCCTCCCTCTGCCCTCCCTGTCCTCGCTCTCGCCCTGCCCTCGCTCTCGCCCTGCCCTCGCTGTCCTCCCTCTCTCCCTGCCCTCCCTGTCCTCGCTCTCGCCCAGCCCTCGCTCTCGCCCTGCCCTCCCTGTCCTTGCTCTCGCCCTCCCTCTCATGCTGACCTCACTTTCACGCTATCCTCCCTCTTGTCCTGACCTCGCTCTCGCCCTGACCTCTTGCCCTGCCCTCGCTCTCACCCTGACCTCTCGCCCTGCCCTCACTCCCTGCCCTGCCTTCGCGCCCTGACCTCGCTCTTGCCCTGCCCTCGCTCTCGCCCTGACCTCCCTCTCGCCCCTGACCTCCCTGCCCTCGCTCTCGCCCTGACCTCGCTCTCACCCCGACCTCCCTGCCCTCGCTCTCGCCCTGACCTCCCTCTCGCCCTGACCTCCCTGCCCTCGCTCTCGCCCTGACCTCGCTCT